CCCGACCCCACCCACACCCCACGTATATTTTATAGCGTTGATCATCGAGTTACGTTATTTTAAATGTAAGAACGAACATTTATCAAATTCCTTTTATAAAACAACCCCTCGCTCTCATCCCTAACTTCATCCTCTCACTGCTTGTTTTACGATAGGATTATATTTTCTTGTTTCTTTTTTTCTCTTTTTTTTTCACTTTGAAACCGGGACAAGAGAGGTATAACTCGAATAAAGATTATTTCTTTTTTTTTTTTCTACTGGCTTAGGGTGGTCGCATAAATATTACTCACCGATCCATGGGCAACCGTAAAGCTCGACGCGCATGCACACCATGCGCATATGCGACGTGTAGGGTATGAAACGAATTTTCGTAGATACAATGGCGGGATCGAAGATTTGTTCTTTCTCCGTGTACGGATTATTGTTGCCTGCTAGGAGCTAGAAAAACAAAAACAAAAAAGAAACACATAATTAAAATATAATCAAATTAATTCTACGGTAATCATTTTTTATCATGTTGAAATATTACGCGACAAGTATTATAATTTAATTAGATAGTCAATTATTGTTAAAAACAAATGATCGAATTTGATAAATTATCTCTACTCGTTGGATGTTCGTAAGTGTGTTACTTAAAAATAATCAGTTATTTATCTCGTCCAAAAATAAAATTCTTAATGAGAAGGTATCACAGGGAACTTGGACATTAAAAAGAAGTAGAACTTAATTTAACTAAGTTGGACGTTTCGTCCCTTTATTGGCACTTCTTCAGCAACTGGAAACTTAAAAATAATGTTTACTCGATCGAAAAAACAGTTCATCGTCAGATTCGTCAGACGTATTTATTTTAATTTAACAATCAAAATCGTTGAGTAGGATTTTAACGAAACAATATTAGTAACAATAGAACAGAATTACGAACGATAGCAAGAGAAACCAACCTACGTTTTAGGTTGTACTAATGGTAAACCGATGCGCATACGCGCGCGCGCGCGTATGCGAGTTTGTAGCTTGCTCGATGGTGCATGTTTACAACGTTAAGAACGAATCTCTCGGGTTTCGAGTACCATTTTCCAAATCCGATTAGTAAGAAGAGAGTAAGAGAGAGATAGAGAGAGAGAAAGGAAAGGCTAAAGGGAAAAGGGTTGAAAGTGGGTGTGGGTGCCGATGAGAAGGGAGAAGTGAACACACAGTGGCCCGTAGGAGAAACTCCTCTAAATGTAAATGCAAGTGCGTTAAATTTTCCAGGAAGCAGCATGCCCACTCTTGTACTCTACTTCCGCATTCACATCTCAAACCGAATTTGGCGATACTATGGCGGATAATCCGGACACGTTTGTTTCGCGAATACATTTTGATGTATATGACACATACACGAGTAGTATATAGGAGTACATACACGTTTAGATGCGTGTGTGCACTGATAGATAGTATACGTTGCTATAAAACGTCAATGAATATTTCACGAATTGTTCACGATTTAACATTAACTACGGATAACCATAACCAACCCCTTTCAGCCAATCGGTTCTTCCCATTATATATATCAATTTTATGTTATATAATATTAGGATAATTTTTTTACGTATTTTTACGTTGCACTACCGAAACATTTTTTGTTTCTTTTTTCTTAATCCTACGCGTGAATACATTTGTTATATTTTTCTCTCTTTTATTTTAATGAAAATTAAAAAATATTAAACTAATAGAGCATTTTATAAAGACCGAGATTATGATTTGTAATATTTTATGCGACTGATGCTATTACTGCTGCTGTTGCTGTTGCTGCAGAAAAAAAAAATAAAATAAGCTCGGTGAATTTTTGTTTTTATTCGTATTTTAAGTCGGTCGGAAATATGCCAGGTTTTTATTTTGTTGGGAGACGGGAATGGGATTTCAGAGTTTCCAGACGAAACGAGAAAAATTAGCGGATTTCTTATGATCGGAAAGAGCTTTTTGTGTATTTTTTTTTTTTCAAAATCACGTTTAAAATTGGTATGTAGGCAAATGAATTAATTATTCGCGTTATTTCGAAGTATTTTTGTCTATTTGTTATTACGATATGAAATATTTAAAAGATAACGAGAGACAGTTTAAAAATATTTTTTAAGATTATTAGAATATTTTTGTAAACTCACACACAGTTTATTTATTGCCATCTTTAATGGAACAGTTTCAGTTTTCTTTCTTTTTTTATACCGAGTAGGACCCAAGGAGGATCAATTAAATCCTATGAAATTTTGTCCTCTCACGTAAATAATATCTAACGATCCTGAAGGACGTAAACTCCTAGGTACGTTTAAATCACAAGAGATTATTTTTAATAACCCATTCTGTCACGTTAATCGTCCGCAAAGAAGAGAACAAAAACAGAGAGAGAGAGAGACATAGAGAGAGAGAGAGAGAAAAGGGTAAAAAGAAAGGGCAAGGCAAATAAAATAAAATGAAAATTAAAAAAGAAAAACAAAATTGTATAAGAGCCAATGAAATATAAATCAATTCGTTCGATCGGATGTGTAATAATTATACTTTTATTTATTTTCATTATTCATAATTTAATTTAATTCGATACGTATAAAAGAGAGAGAGAGAGAGAGAGAGAGAGAGAGAAAGAGAGATGATCAATTTGTTAATTATTTATTTAAATATATATTAAAATGAACGAAAATTAAATCATTGGAAAAAAAAAGAAATCGATTAAAAGATTAATATCAAAATAAAAAAGAAGAAAAGAAAATAATTTCAAAACGATAGGATATAGTTTTAGAAATGGTTGAACAAGGGTTAACGTCTAGACATGTGTTATATTACGTTCGGAAATATAATTCTAAAATTAAACGAAAAACGAAGAGAGAGAGAGAGAGTATTGCATTTGATTTTTTCTTTTTCCAGGGGTCGGAGGGGTGGGAATTTTTATCTCCGGCTACGAGATGCAACGAGGGAATATCAAGAGGGAGGAAATGGAAATGACCGATCCTGGTCTAAGTTTTTTTTAACGATCGATCGATCGAACGAACGAACGATCCTGGTTTCCTCCAACACTCTCTCTCTCTCTCTCTCTCTTTTTCTGGCATTCGCGATGTCTGACGATATATTAAATGGATTCGTGCCGTTTCCATGAGACTCGACGCTAGCCGTTTTTCTCGTTTACGAGGCGAGAAAGAGTGAACGTTCAGCGGCAATTTATCGGTTCACGGATGCGTATCGTGCTTGGCTATCGATGACGATGCACTAACCGTGTTCCTCGAGATATTCTAGAAATACATATATGTAAGCGAATGCCAACATAGGATTGGATACGATAGGATTATTCGAGGGATAAAGATCGTACTTTTAACTTGACTTATTCGACGTTACCCGACAATACGCATGAGTTGTTTATTCAAATTGTCTAATCATATTCTCTCCTTTTAATTTATATATAGATATATATATTAGATTAAAGATTATATCAAGTTTTCTTTTTTTTTGTTGTTGTTGAGGGTTTCAAATTATAACGAGCGAATACTTAACGAAGTTTAGATGTTTTGTGTTTTGAATATTAATAAAAAGAAAAATGTATGTCTACCCAATAAAAAATGACGCTTAACTGTAAAAATTAAGTTGCCGAAGAAGTCCCAATAAAGGGACGAAACTTAAGTCCAACTTAGTTAAATTAAGTTTTACTTCTTTTTTATGTCCAAGTTCCCTGTGATACCTTATCATTATATTAAGTATACAACAAGTTTCTTATATCTGATTAAATTATTGCAAAATAAATGTGAAAGAATATTAGATAGAAGGGGTGAAAGAAATAAAAAAAAAATTAAATGATATCAATTCTCGAATAGAATAATACGTATAGCAGCTTAGAAATACGGGATTTCCTCTGTACGTAATAACGATCGTTACAATTTTTCACAAGATCCCGATCAAATCTGTAAAAGTATATTTCCTCTACTGGAAATAACGTTTGCATCGAAAATAACGTTTACGTATTATCAAACATACGGAATCGGTGAAGCAAGTCTGGAAAAGAAGAAAAAAAGAACATAATTTCTGATCGTACCCACACAATCCAGTAATTTGGATAAGCTTTATAACGTTTACTACCGTATTTATCGAAAAACCGGTTTTAAAAAAAAAAAAAAAGAAAAAAAAAAGTAAAAGCAGAAAATAGTTGGATGGATAAATGCGATTGGAAAACCATTTCGTTTCGGATAATTTATTTGTAGAAGATAGATGAAAAAATGTTAGCGATTTTCCGGTTAGAAAAGGTCATAGAAATAGTCTATGTGTTTTTATGTCTATATGTGTATATGTATATCGGTCGAGCTGGCACGAAACGAGCGAAACCATGGATGTATTACAAGTGCGAGTGGCAACTGCGACCGCGAGTATGACTATCCTGTGGTACAACGTGCTGGAATACGAGCCCGGCATGGAATATACGCGATAGGAATAATTAATATAGTCATAAACAAGGCTCGCCTTCGGTTTTGCTCTACGAGAGAGGGAAAGAGAAAGAGAAAGAGAGAGAGAGAGAGAGATAAAGAGCGTGCTCCGATATCGTTTTGCCTAGACATAAAATTGATATCCCGAACCCTATGCACAGTGTATACTCGAAATATACTTTGCTTATACTCATACCTTCCTTCCCTAGATCGTAGAGACTTGATAGATGACTATCATATGTTTTAGATCGGGTATCGGGAACAATAGAGTAAGTAATTCATCGCTTTAGAAACATACACGTGATCGATCTTCGATGAAACTTTTTAATAGAGTTCGGTTACTACAAGAATGAACAATTTTGTTAAACATTGTTTCATTATAATAGTTTTCTATGATAGTTAAATTATATATGAATGGAATGTGGATCGATAATATTATTAAATAGGTCAAAAGTTCTTTTGATATTTATAAATAAATTGAATATTCTCTTTCGACGCTGAACACTTTTTATTCGTGTCGTAATTATTTTTGATCTCTAATTGTAATTTTGTTAGATTTATCAAGCAAAAAAAAATATATTTCTGTCGAATTATTCCATATGACGTAATGTTATATTTAATATAATTATATTTAATATAATTCATTTTCATTCGAATCCAATAAGAGAGACATTCTTGCTTCCTAATATTAAATCGCCAATGCGTTACGTTTAATGTACCATTCGAGTGATTTAAGCAATGATTAAGATCGACATTTAATCGCACCGACATCGTGATCAATTTTAATGGTCCATTTTGGTCTCTTTCTTGTGTCGTTGATGAATGATATTTACGTCATTGTTGAAATTTAAACGAATGGAACGACCGTGCGTACTATTATCGGAAGACAATGGAATTCATCGGCTAATGTAATTAATAGTTATATAGTATTCTATTACGTGCTGTTGTTATAGGATACTGCTTTGCGTGTTTTCATTGTTGTTGTTACGTTTCGTATACACGCAA